GCCTCAGAGATCATATTTCTACGTGGCGGTGACCAGGGTCACAACTATGTCAGAACTAATTCTTACCGAAGAACTCACGCTCGAGTATCTTAGCTTGAGGCCTGAAGATGAAACTGTTACTCACAGCGCTACTGCCCTAGTTACGGACTTCAGCGATTGTAGGAATGAGCCTGAACGAGCGCAAGCAGCGATCGCTAAACAACACGTGATTGTTCGGCGATCATCTGCGATCATGTCTGACTTTGATAAGCCTTTTTGGATCTATGCATTTGTGGAGCTTTTTCCTTTCGGTCGTGGCGGTTTGGACGAGCCGCGATCAATACCGATTGGTATCGAAGAATATATTCGCTACTGCCTGAGATTGTCGCCACGGCGCCACGCGAGACATCATTCGTTTACGTTTGTTGCGTTCGATGTGCTTGCCAGGCATCGGGCTATGCAAGCTGTCTATTTGCGTGCAAAAATGGCTCCTTCCGCTGTGGCTATGACGACGTCTATCAGGAGAGAAGAACTTGTGGAACATTTGAGAAGGCGAGAAAATCATTTGCAAAATCTATCAAAGAATACGTTCGGTGCCCCTGCGCCTCACGCGGAGCAGAATATCCGGAATTTGTTTTCGCTCATTTCTACAGGAATGCGCGCTCACTTCGGGTCCAACGAAGAACGTTCTCGCGCGAGATCGAACCTTCTCGCTATGCAGCTAGCATACGGACAACCATCGATCTTTTTCACCATCTCACCTAGCAGTTCCTCGTCGTATCGCGTCGCAGCTCTAGGCGGCGCTGTCGAAGATGAACTACTGGACGCAGTAAACCAAGAGCTTACATAAAGACTCCGCATGAGCAAAGCAAAGCTGGGAGCTGCGGCTGCATCAAACCCAACGGCTTGTGCCCGGTAAGTATTGCTTTGTCCGCCGCACTATGTGAGGTTACTAATTGTTATATCCACAAGTTATTACGACGTCGTGATCACTCTGTTTGTGGACGTAATACTCAACTTTGACAGAGAAAGGCAGTGCTCCAGGACTGGAAGGGGTGTCTTCGGTGTAACCAAAGCCTATTTCGTATCTACGGAATCGCAAAACTCAACAGGCGATCTTCATGGCCACATGCTTATAAGGATCGATGGTATGCCTACGACTACTATCAACTACTACGAACGGCTTCAGACTACTGCTTTTCGGCAGAATGTGGAAAATTACGTGTCTTCGATCGCAAAATCCAGTTTTCCTATTGATCTTAGCCGGTGTCCTGGGTGTGGGGAAAATAAAGTAAGGGCCGTCCCGCTACAGCGACAAGCTTTTGAAAAACCTCTGCGTGGGCATGGCAAATGTCCAACATCGCGGTGTA